ACACTTGAAGACTGCGCAGGTCTTTGATATCCACTTCCTCGCGTAACATTTGAGTTTTCTCCAAGATCCACGAACGAGTCTCCATGCACACCTGAGTGAACTGCGCCACCGCCTCGGCAGCCCTCATCGTCTCTGACTTTGCATCCTTCTGCGCTACCAGTTGCCGCCACCTAACAGTTCGACGTGCGTCACAAATAGCCACTGAACAATAAACATACAAACTGCCAATCTCCTGCTGGCGTTTGCGAATGCGATCGCTTTGAGTGTGCTGCGACGACAGAAGGTCATCGGCTATTTTGTTAATCTCCACCAAGTGAGTGCCGCCGGTAGCGATGATGTCCGCGGCGATGTCCTAAACAGAAGCAGGGAAAAACGAAATAAACCACAAGGGATCAGTGAAAAGGTTTTTAGAATTTTTAATTTACATCAAACTTCTTCCGCGAAGCGCTGACATTCTCCGTACTTGGCGCCTCTTGCAACAGAGCGATAGTGTCTTTGGCCCAATGCTCGAAATCGTCGCATTCTCGGTAGAACTTGTACAGCTTAACGGCGTCTTCAAGGTACCGCTTCCGTGTCTAAGATATCTGTTTGTGAAAAACAGAGAAATGAACTCATATCCAAAATATTTACCTGAGCCAATTTCGACAGACGCCAATACGTCGAGCTGATCTGTTCCTGTCGCTCAGTGACCACCGGCAACGCCGTAAGTTCGGTGGACGACTGAGCGAGCAACCTCGTTTCTCCATCGCCTTTTCCCATGCCGTAATCGCTGATGGGGGTCTTTGACCGAGGACTGCGCGTCGGACAGGGACCACCAGTTCTGTTCTTGGCAGCAAAACCCGGCTTCTGAAAACAATGTTAAATAAGAAGGAATATTGTATAGCACTGACATGGCAATGTGTGTTGAGAAGCGTTAATCACAAAGACAGATAATTTAACATCATACTGTATCTGAAGTGTGCTGCTTATCCAAGGAGAACATGATATTATAGGCGGCAAGGAAACAGTCACTCGTTAGAAGTGCGTTATACAGCAAAGTTTTTTGAATGCCATTCGATTCCTTAAAACAGATTATATTCATGATGAAGATGAATTCAGTCTGTTTTAAGGAATCGAATATATTGGATGGGAGCGCCCTGAGTTTATAACTTGATCTCTAAAGATAATCTTCCATTCGTATGACTTTTAGGAGCAAAGAAATGTTCTGATTTTAAACGCCAGGAAACCGCTTGAAGCGAAATGCACATCACCAAGACACCTGTTTTTCAATTTTAAATAGAAGTGCTACGACATTCTAAACCATGTTTACAAAATCCAAACAACATATGAAACCTTTTCGTACTTGCCTCCCCCCGGCAGACTATCCAATTAAGATCAGGTAACTCCGAGCTAACAGGAACAAGCTAAGTTCCTCGAAGAAATGACTGCAGAGATTACGAGTGAAGCACAGTTATGATATGCTGTCAGGGAAGTGCACACTCTATGAGCCGAACTGTTCCCACTACAACAATGCCCAAAGCGTGGCCATCTGTACGAAAGAGCAGCGCATAAATTCTTCAAAACTGACTGAATCAAGTGATATCCTCCAATACCCTCTGCGATGAAGTCAAAGAACTCTGAACAAGATATCAGATGAGACAACGGTATGAAGCAATAGCTCTATAAAAGCCAAACTCAAATAACACCGCTTCAGAACGTTCTGATCAAAGCTATATAAATACGAGGGATATGGATCACAATTTACACAATCCAACATATTTTCAAGGCTGAACGCTGGCCCCTGCTTACCTCTGACTCGCTTACCGTCGATGAAAGCAGATCGACCTTGCTCAATTCGTTTGCCATCTCTTCCAATCGGACGATATCTGATTTGTAAGCGCCGATTTCTTCCAACAGGCGATTGTGTCGCAACAACAACCACTAAATATATTTTTTACTGTAACACAAAACCATAAGTGTAAAACTACACAATCACAAGGCAGAACATCTACATATTCTTACTAAGATACACTGAAATCTTCCTGAATAATCCTTTATTACGCATGCGATGCCACTAGTTTTGAAGGGTTGCTAGTGTAGGATTTTACAGCCCTATTCAGGTACCGTAAATCTGCATTATAGTAACGATGCTTGAAGTCAAGCAACATGCCAGTTCAGTTCAGGCTGCTGTAAAATCAAGAATCACTACTGGAATCCGTTAAAGAATAAATACTTCATATTCGCCGCAATCACCTTCATGGCCTTTCATTACCGTACTCTTCTTTCATAATTCTTTCACATAACCCGTGCGTTCATTACCAGGAATCCCCAGGCCTACTACACAGAGTGATAGTTTACATTGCACTATGTAATCTTTTCGTAGTTTCATTCTGTATCTTGTCCGGTAGACACTTTTATAGACAATTCATCCTTGTGTGCATCGCATCGTTCTATTTTCCTGGTGGAACTAACAGATTTTTGTGGACATCATTCACAATGTTTGAGTATACAAAACTACAGCGTACACAGAATAGAATGTAGCATACATATCGTACAACTTACACCATATCACATATAATACTGATTAAATTAAATATACCATGATATACATAATAAAGAGCATATCATATATTACGGGTACATATGAACATACTACGGAACATATGCGGCAAATAATATACTATATCTATGGTAACGTATGCTTTATTATATGACGTACATGTATGACACGAAAAAATATATTTTAGGCTAATTCAAACGGCTGAACAACTCACCGAAGCTGAGCTTTCGTCCTTGCCAAAGTCATCTGAGCACACCAGTGGCAGCTTCTCCCGCATCCAGCTCTCAGCTTCATTCGCGTCCTGAAAGTAGCTGTTCACCTGCTGTGCCTCTTTCACGTATTTGCCAAGCATCAGCGACAGCCGCCTCAAATCCTCCCATCGCGTTTCGAGCTTGTTTAGTCTTTTCTGGACATCGTCCTTCAGGACGTTAAGCGACTCGATCAGGCGCCCACCGGCGGCCATGATCTGTTTCGTACGCAGCCAGTGACCCTGCATCTCTGCATCCAGGTTCTAAACAACTTCCGTCGTCGCTAGCCAAACAGTCAAAATATTAAACTCTGATGATAAAAAAATACCTTCAAGAAACGGTTTAATTGTGGAAGGGAGGGAAAATCAGCCTTATTCAGCAAATTGACACAATACTGTATCTTTTCCGCTAGCCAGCTTTCCTCCTCTCCGCTATCTTGAATGAACTGGTGTAGCTCTCTTGATCGCTCCAGAGTCAGATGGCGAGCATCCGCCGCCTTCACCAAACTGTAACATTGAACCAGTTTTTAGAATCATGTAAATCAGCTAAACAGCATAAGGTGATAAATCTTTCAGGTTGAGAACTGAAGAAAACAAAACAACCTGCTTGTAACAACAAAGACCATTAGGAAATGTGATTCGAACACTGAACCTGCCAGGGAAAAGAAGAAAGAATTAAAGAAGTAAAAATAAGTTGTCACGATGTTGCAAAAAATGATATAAAGTCCTTCAATGAAGAGGGGAATAACAGAAGGCTTGACCTCAGATAGTAATAAAAACTAATTTTACATGGTAAAACCTGTAACGGGAACCGCACTGTAATTTTATTACAGAATCGTACTTTTCTGCATGTACTTCGTCCTCAGAGAACATAGAGAACATTAACGAGAGTTTATGCATATTTATTCCTTGAAATTCATTCACGTGTGATTCGAGCATTTGGAAGTTAACTCTATAATAAGGTTGCTAAACAGTGTCATCAACAAACAGATTTCTTGTCGTTACGCACTATGGCATTGACGGATTGGTACTCAAGGTGCTGCAAGAGCCAAACTAGAAGGCCTCAGCAAAGATAGCATGATTAGCTGAGAGAGACATGGATGCTTGTGATGGCTAATCGCATAAGACAGCCGAATGTGAACATCGACACTAGGCAATGGTAATCCCCGTTAATCATAAGAAGGATCAGTCAGCAAGCGCTAGTAAATGATATATCAAGTAGTAGCTTATTTCCAAATGCCACGAATGGAAGACAAACGCATAAAATCCTTAACTACAAACGGCACAAATCTTTTCAAGCTACCTCTTAGTCAAAACCTGAAGTCGAACTAAGGTTGATCAGAAACACCAGTACCTGAACACTATCATTAGAAACACTAATGTTCATAATAAGCCAATTTTATAAAGAATTTTACCGTTCTAAATTACTTTATTATCATTAATAAATCGTAGCAAATAAAACCTTAGCAGATTTAACAGCAAACACATACACTGATTAATTTTTTGACATCGATCAGCTAATAATAATCTTTAATTTGAAAAAAACAAGAAAAATCTTGTTGAACAGGAGAAGGACGTGATTCAACAGTCATCCACATCACGTACTTCTCATACTGCTGCTGTACTTCGTTGATTCGGCTGCGAAGTGTTTCGTACTGCGGCGCTTTGTTGCGTACGTAGAGCTGAGCCGTGTCAATGATACCTCGCAGTCGCTTGCCTTGGGCGATTATCTGCGCCTCGACGATCAAGTGCTTCTGCAACAAGTCGTCCACGGCTAAGATGTGCTTTCCAATGTCTTTGTTTAAAACGATCGCCTGAAACAAACACAAAATAAATGAAAAATATTAAAAGAATACCGACGAACAGAGAAGTTATTTTCTGTTGACTTATGAGTAAGAGCATCCTTGTTATTACGCTTGGATTTAATCAAGCCGTCTTCTATCCATGAATCGCTCCTTGGTTGTCATTAGGTTCAAGTACCAAAATTAAGTTACACCACCCATAATGAAAGTATCTGGGAAGAATAGCATACCAGAAAATAATAATTTATTTGAAAATTTAATTTTCTCTTCTTTCCCAATATTAGTAAAACACCAAGAAATGTTTTAACGACATGCTTTAACTGACAACTGTTGAAGTCTGTAGCATCACTAACGCTTATTATTCTTCGCATCAAAAAATGTCAACAAACAAAACTGTAACCTTGAATGAATGCATACAAATTATTGTACTTCACTGCTAAATTTCTGACGAGTTTACAAATCATTACATGGGGTACACATGCAGGGAATGGTGGTTAGAGAAGTTTCAACCCTGCGACATCTGTAAAAGTACAATTCAAATAAATTTCAAACATGCACCACAACAATTTAGCAATAGAAAACATACTTCGGCCTGATCCAATTCAGAAGAAAGGGCATCCAAGTCTCGCAACAATTTCATCATCGTGTTCAGTGAAGAAAGAGC